AAAACTCATGCTAATAACCATTGGAATAAACTTAAATTATGATTAAAACTACTCATTATTAGAACTATCTAAATTGAGATTGATTAATTTGATTTTATACGAAATACACTGGTAGTTTTAAAAGTTTTAACTGGAACTGGGTAACTACTTGAAAGATCTGTTATCTATTGTAGCTCAGTTACATCCATAATTTAGCCAGTGAAATGCAAGATACAAAATATAGTTACAATTACAGAAGTGGCTGGCATTACGTGTTTACAATCTAATGATATATAGGAGGGCGCGGTCCGCCCCCTTCCAATATTTTAAGCTGTAGCACATGAACCGATTCTTCGATTTAAAGGTACTCGTGACACGTGCTGCATCAAACGTCACTTCATTTGGCGTCGGCTTCACGTACATATAGCTACCGATTTTCCCTCTCACTTGAGGCGGTGAAATTGATACACCCGCTTTTTCGAATCATCTGTCTGATTGCTTATCCAGTAATTTGTACACCAGAAATACAAACGCATAACTTGGCTTTATTGTTATAGATATTACAACAGTAGCCATTATTAATTCAATATAATGTACGCATGAGATGTCATAAAGATTACTTTCTGTAAATCATTGTATCTGTAGTTTAAAAACCTACAGATTCAAAGCAAGGTTAATGTTATATTACAAACACTAGTAGAACAGCTTATACGTTAATACCTGGAGCATAGGAGTATTGATGAAAATCATTGTTGCTATTCTGCTTCTTTAATAGCTAATATAATACAACAGTGTAAAATACTGTCCAATTTAACTATAAAATATTATTGTTATTTCATGTACGTAATTCACTAAAAACAAACCAGTGTAAGGTTACAAGAATGCTGTAAACACCAAAATGTACTATTTATTAGTACATGCAAGGCATTTAAACACAATATTTCGAAATTTAAAATACGTGAGAAACATCCGCATTATATATTTTACGTACTAAAATTAAAGAAACTTGTTAAGCAGGACATTTTCAGAATATAGACGTCACCATTAAAAAGGATTAAATTAAGAAAAGTAATTATTTGCCAAAAGCGTTAGAGTAATAGGATATAACGATTTATCAATATATTTATTGTACTCTTTTCCTAAGCATTATTATCGTACTTGGATATCTACAGATATCCGTATTATCAAACTGTAAATCCAACATGATTCGATATTTTCTCGCAACAGGTCTAAAATGATAACTGAAAATTTTCAGTTTTATTAAGTTATCATTTCAATTCAGTAAATTATTCTTCTAACAGGGTTAAAATACTACTAGTCAAATTTAACACTTCAGCCTTACTAAGTCACCATTTAGATCAATAGACTGTTCTCGTAAGAGAGTTAAAATGTCACCTCATAAATGAGTTTAGCCTTACTAAGTTACCATTTAGATCAATAGACTGTTCTTGTAATAGAGTTCAAAGGTCGCCTCCCAAAGGAGTTTAGCCATACTAAGTTACCATTTAGATCAATAGACTGTTCTCGTAAGAGAGTTAAAATGTCACCTCATAAAGGAGTTTAGCCTTACTAAGTTACCATTTAGATCAATAGACTGTTCTTGTAATAGAGTTCAAAGGTCGCCTCCCAAAGGAGTTTAGCCATACTAAGTTACCATTTAGATCAATAGACTGTTCTTGTAATAGAGTTCAAAGGTCGCCTCCAAAAGGAGTTTAGCCTTACTAAGTTACCATTTTAATCCAGTAAGTTGTTCGATTGAACATTAACCTAACAAACAAATCTGCTGACAAAAGTATAATAGTTTCAAAAGTATTGCACCAATATGCATATGTTTATAAAGACTCTGATGTATAAAATCATATGAAGGTATTTTTTGTAAGAGGTAGACTTTACTTATATTTATATCCTGTAGCAAAATTTTCTTACATAAGTTGTAATTTCAAAACGTTCGTATTTTCTTAAAAGTTTATCTGTTTGAAAATTGCAAATCAATCATTGTTTATGTCTCACACACATTCTAAGCTAATCTGGTATTCGTAATGTACTATTGATTTAGTAGTTGTTCTACTAAGTGTTTGTTTGTTTGTTTTTGAATTTCGCGCAAAGCTACACGAGGGCTATCTGCGCTAGCCGTCCCTAATTTAGCAGTGTAAGACTAGAGGGAAAGCAGCTAGTCATCACCACCCACCGCCATCTCTTGGGCTACTCTTTTACCAACGAATAGTGGGCTTGACCGTCACTTATAACGCCCCCACGCCTAAAAGAGCGAGCATGTTTAGTGTAACGGAGATTCGAACCCGCGACCCGCAGATTGCAAGTCGAGCACCCTAACCACCTGGCCATGCCGGGCCAATAATTCATATTTAAGTCCAGATTTTTAACTGTTATTGCACAATTGTCTCAAGTTTAAATAATTTTGATAGACAAAAAAAAAACACGTTGAAAAGTGTGTACCTGAAGGTATGTTGGTTTGCCAACACAAGTTATTTTTTTTATGCTGATCACTGGTAGCAGGTTAAGATGTTTTGTTTATCTATAAACTTGATTTACCATGCCTGATCTCTTAAGAAAATTGTAAAGATTTGATATAAGCCAAGTAAGAGACGGATTTAGACTTTGTTTTATTTACTGCACTTAAGATACCTGCACAAGTGACGAGCTTTAAAATAATGCACGTGTATGGGTACTTTATGGTATATCTATATAAAAAAAGATAATTTAAATCAAAGAACGAGTAATCAGATATATTGGTTTGTCCACTTCAAAAAATTGTCTTTCATTGCTATGGACACATATGTGTCACCCTGTAGGGCACTGCCACGTGCTCATACGTCTCCCCTTCTAGTACTGCCACGGACATATATATATGTTTTCTCCTCTGGAGCACTCCCAAGGGCACGTATATGGCATACACTATATAATACTTCTTGTAGCTTTGAAAATTGTGATTCTGACAAACTGTTCTTATGATTAATTGAAGAAACAAAAAATGGTGCATATTAATATGCAAATTTTAAAAATGAATGCACGAATAATTACTTTACTTAAAATTTCATATACTCTGGAACTATAATCATCTGTAAAATATTTCAGACAAGTATCTCTAAAAATAACATGGTGATATAACAAGTAATAAACGAGATATAAGTAATGATACCACACCATATATGTTGCTGTGTCTTTCTAAAAATAACTGTAAGACTTGTTTATCTAAAAACATGGCAGCGAAAGAGTTAAACAGTTAAACAGAAATACGACATTACTTTGATCTCGCAATATCTTTCTTTTAGCGAAGCTTACTTAGGCAGCAACAGCTCCATATACCAGAGTTTTGATAACAAAAGATGCCTTTAGTCAACTGTGTTAAATAACAATATTTATATTATTATTGTTTAACACCAGTCGAGAAAAAGCATCATTCGCTACTTTAATTCAGTTGCTCTCGTTTTTCCATAAAATGGAGGTCAAACAATAAATATTTTACTCATAGAATCTTAAAATAAATACAGTTACCCTAGCAGTACTCATTTTTATACGGAACAGAAATATTATTTCATCATTTCGCAAAAAGAACGTGATAAATGCAATCAAACCATAAGGTGTTGGAAACTTTTTTGCGTTACTTGTGAGGGCGTGTAAAAGGAATGTCAGTTGTCCGATTGGGTGGTAATGTGTGACGTCAAAATCGTAGGAAGTAAAGACGAAACACTCAAGTTCGTTGTATTATATAAGATTAAGTATAAATAGTCCAGAATAAAAATCGAAAGGAAGTATCTTCTGTCGTGAAAGAGAGAAAAATGGGTAAGTGTAGTTCTGCTTTTATATTAACACGTTTTCTTCGATATCAAAATAGGTTAAACAGAAGTTGTTAATTCAAAACTATATATTTTACTGTATATCAGGTGACATTTGAATTTTGGCATTGACAAGAGTTCTATAAATTTTAGAGAAAAAAAAAAGGTTTATATTAAAATAACTTAAATTACCGTAAAGAGAAATATGTAATAAAACTCAGAAACTCCAAGAAATCCAGAAGATTCTTGTTCATTCGGTATGATGGTACCAATGTTGATGAAGGTAGTTTCAAAAGCATCTCATATCGAGGAATTGATACTGTGTTTAGCATTAAATAGAGCTGTTATTCACCACGTTTTTTTATAATACGTATTTAATGGTAAAGTACGGCTGTTACGATGAATATTAACGTGAAAATTACATGAAGTAGATGACACAAGAAAGCTAAAAAACCTGTCTAGTTCCTCTAATAAGCAAATTGCCTTTTATGATGTTAAAAATGCAGTGTTAAGCTTCTTTATACAGTGATAAACACAATCAGGCAACATATCATAATTAACACAGTCTGGTAACACAATCATTATTAAAAACGTCTGGTGACACTATCGTAATAAATACAGTCAGGTGACATATCATAATTAACACAATCTGGTGACGTTATCATAATTAACACAGTCTGGTGACGTTATCATAATTAACACAGTCTGGTGACACTATCATAATTAATACAGTCTGGTGACACTATTGTGGCTAATACAGATTGGTGACATTACCGTTGATAACACAGTTTGGTGACACTATCGTGGCTAACACAGATTGACGACACTATCATGACTGACACAGATTGACGACACTATCGTGGATAGCACAGTTTGGTGTGGCACTCTCATAAGGTTTGATGAAAAGTTTTAACGCACTTACTAACACCACGTGTCATTACAACTTGATATTGTATAATATTGTCTTATTCTTTCTGTTACAATAAAAAAAACGATAAGAAAAATATTAACATTTATTTGTATACATTAATCAAATTTATAAAATGTTCCCTGTGAGTCGTACGAAGGGAAATAAATAAAAATTTGACATACAATGTCAAAGTTCAACTGTTTGATTCTCCACCATGCTTTACATATTAGTTGGCGTCATATATTTTAAGATCTCGCATATTTATTAGCACCTTTAATGAATGATGATAACGTTTGTTAACACGTGTTTCAGCTTTCCGAATCTTGATTCCTGTTGTCTTCCTAATACTATTCTGTTCCTGGTTGGTTCAGGCTCGCTATTTGCCTACAAGGGCTGACGAAAAAGAGAAAAATCAAATAAAGGACGTACTACAGATGGTTTGTCTATAATGCGTTATTTACTCCTCCATTAACTATAACGTTGCAGAAATACAAAATTATTCTTCCATCTTTTTTTTGTCTTAATACAATGTATTTCTAGGAAATGTAACAACTTAGAATATTCAATAGACATAAAATTACTATTTTAAGAAAATAGCCAATTAAATAGCTATTTCCATATTTAGAAATAATCATTTATCACAATATTCCTTTGTTCAGATTTTGAAATACACGAGACGATTAGGTTTAGGTGTATAGTCATTTACTCATCACTAATAATAACCAAAACTATCTTATGTGCAAAGAGTAGGTTTTAGGCCTCTACGTCATGTTTTCGTCACTGAAATTCACGTTTGGGTGAAGAAAAGAAATAAATACATAAGATTTTATTGTGTTCACATTGCGTGTATTTCAAGAAAATTATCAGCATTAATGTATTACTTCTGAAATCAAAGAAGTAGATACGAACTTCATTATCTGAATTTCCCAATGAGGAAGAGAGGCCTGAGCCAATGAAGTCTCAGTAAGGTCGTAACAAAATAATATATATAGCTATCCAGTCAGACAATTAATATGTTTGTATCTGTTGAAAATCAGATAATTATAATATTTATGACTGTTCAATCACAGAATTAATATGATAAAGACTGTCCGATCAGAGCAAATTATTAACCCAGCTCTTACCAACTTAATACATATACAAATAAAGAAGTTTAATTGCACTAATCTCGCATGAAAACTCTGTGATTTCGGTCGAATGTCGAAATAGAATCAAAGAAGTTACTGATATTTGACGTTTTTTGACATTGCCTGTATAGGTTTTAGAAAAAATTTCTGAATATTGCGGTTGTTCCATTCAAAGACTACCATCCCTTCCCTAAAGATCATTTACAGGTTCACATATGAAAATCGAATCGTCTAGAACGAAAAATGAATGTTATATCGAAGTGGGCGAAAATTATGCGATAGGTAAATAAAACATAACGATATAGAATAGAAAACTATGGGAAAAAAGAGAGTCTTTAACCTTGATAACAAGGATATTTTATGGTATCGCACGAATTCAAACCTGGCTTGCTAGCTGCGAAACCCAGAGGTTTATTACAGTACCTGCGCTCTGAGTTGAGAGATCTATAAAAAAACTTTTTTATTTCATATGTTAGCTCCACAGGACCCACCATCCACGTTAAGGGATAGACTTCAGCAGGACCCACCATCCACATTAAAGGATTGACTTCAGCAGAACCAATCATCCACATTAAGGGATTTTTGTAACTCAACCACAACTAAAAGTGTAGAAAATAAGGACCCACCATCCACATTAAGGGATAGACTTCAGCAGGACCCACCATCCACATTAAGGGATAGACTTCAGCAGGACCCACCATCCACATTAAGGGATTGACTTCAGAGCTGAAGTCTATCCCTTAATGTGGATGGTGGGTCCTGCTGAAGTCAATCCCTTAATGTGGATGGTGGAGTCCTGCTGAAGTCAATCCCTTAATGTGGATGGTGGGTCCTGCTAAATGGTTGTCTTTCTTCTGGTCAATAGTGTAAAATTAACTACTGTGGCAGATAATCTTAGTAGCTCTTCAGTGACTCAGTGGTAAGTCTGAGAACTTATACAGCTCAATAGCAAACAAACAAACATGCTGTACCTGATAATGCCTTTACTGGCGAAACCAGGGTCGTAATAAATGATGTATTTATGAAACGTCTAATTGTCTTGTTTTTCCTCAATTCTGTAATTATAGAGTTTCACCAAGTACCGACGGTTTCAAGTACCAATTGTATAAAACAAACATGCCATACGTAAACATACAAATATCTTTAAGCCCGGTGGGCTTTCTGAAGGGTTGATTAAAATATAGTAATTATGATTTATTCAAATATATTAAGAAGTGTATCTTAACAAAACAGATCATCTTTGACTATGGACAAATTCTATAGAAAACAGAACAAAATTTCAACCATTACTAATGGTAAAGAAAGGTATGTTCTTAACAAATCCTATGTCATATTATCTTTAGTACTTAATTGGTCAAAAGTCGTTTCTATTAGTAACGTTTCGACAACTTCTGCCGATCCATCACAAACGGATCGCTGACAGCTTCTAAAACAACATGTAATGAGAAATTACAAAATAGTTGTTTAATTTTAAAAAATGTTTGTCCACTAAACGAGTGATCACGTGTTTTTATAGTTAGTAGAGATGAGCTCTGGAGACAATGCTGAAGCTGACAAGCCAACTGTGTTGATCGACTTTCAAAGGCCTATACTCACTGTTATACCTGACTCATTTACCCTCGGAGTGAAGGACCACTATCGGCAGAAAGATCTATCTTAAATGTTCTTTTTCATTAAATTTGGTAAGCTTTATTACCAATTATTTTATGTATGTTTGGCGATAATTAAAACAGATTATAAATGTATAAAGTGCGCTATCTAAATAATGTTTTACCATTCAAAGAAATAATTGTATTTGTTATAATAAATTGTATCGTAGAAATTTAGAAAACTATTTTTGAGATAACTGTTGTACTTATATATGTTTCTCTTGTTATTGTGAAACTTCCGCCAGTCTCTGCGTCTACCATACTAGTTTCGGTAAAAAACAAAAGTAAACTTGTCTACCTTTTATAAAATGTGATACACAAACAGAAAGCACAGCTTAACCTTGTTTATGTATTTAGTTCGTTCGTAATTAAGTTAACCCTAACTTGGCTTCATTGACTAATAAATGACTAGTTACAATAACAAAATAAATACAAACAGTTTTGATTTCACATGTAAAAGGTTTTATATAAGGTTGTCGAAAGCAACACAGTTTACTTAAGATTGTTTTCAGTTTGTTTTCAGATTCCCACAAGGATAATTCAACCTGAAGCATACTTTAGAAACCCAGATAATTATCTTCCGAATTTTGATTTGTCTTCTTAAGTCGTTCAAGATTGAAAAACCCCAAGACAAAAAAAAGACAGAAAGAATGAAAATTCGTGAAATGTGATTCTCGCTTTGAATTCTTATCTTTTCTTGTTATGAATATTTTGCTTCTTTGTCGATCCTCTTCAAAAAATAAATAAATAAAAACTTTTTTCTCAAATGCTCAGATATTATTTATTTAAAAACTTTATTCTAATGTCACAACACCACACGAAGCTCTCTGTAAGTTCGTAGCTGTTGATGGACACTTGTTGTCACTGCTCATTTCCAAGTGTCTCTTTCGTTAAAGTTCCATTAAATTATTTTAAATATTTGAAGGTCATTCCCTAATATATTCTAGCACTCAATTCTGATAGTCCCCTGTTAGGACAATGGTAAGTCTACAGACTTATAACGTTAAAATCCGGGGTTAGATTCCCCGCTGTTGACACAGCCAATTCTAATAATACCCAGTACTTGATTACAATAACTTTCTGCTGTTTTGGTTTTGATACAGCAACTTGCACTGTACAAATTATTGGAATATGTGACAATCTTCGTGATTTTAACACATTTCATTATCATAAATACTCAATATACTGGTAAGTAAAACACCTGTATGGGGATATATAATATTGTTTTATACAATAATGTGTGTGACTCTGGGGACACTTTGCATGACATTACAGTTGGTGCCATATTTCAAATACAAACACAAAAAATGAAAATTTCCCAATCACTATATCCGTTATCGAACAGTAACTTTTTTTTAAAATTTGTCTATTAATTCTTTCTGAGAATCAGAGTGGTTTATGTTCAAAAACATATTAAGATACGTAAATAACTATAAAATGTTCTCCTCGAATTTCTAGCCTTTCTGTGCTTCGTCATTTACGTAATTGTTGAAACTGTATAACCACGTAGCAGATTTTAGTCAAAGTAAAATTGTATTTTCCGTTGCTTATGTGGTTTCATAAAACGTGGGTTAACTTGGTTCTATATTAATGCATTATTGAAACTGTAAGTTTATAATAGGATTTATGGAAATATAATAACATTTTAAAGGGTCTCTGGTAGGAAATGTTACAGAACAATTGGGGACTTCTGGTCAAAGTAAACTACTTACACAGATCACAACTAATCATGAACGAATATAAATAATTCTGTATAATTTTCTTACGTTCTTACCGTAATTCCAATAATATCTCGATCGCACATCGTTGACGACGAGACCTTCGCTCAATACCAGAGGTTGTCAGGTCGGCTATTATATTGTTTTTACTGAAATACCGCACATGGTCAATAGTATTATCAGTGTAATTGTTATGTATTGTCGCGTAAATCAAACAATTATAGATCAATATATGCAATCCAACAACACATGACACCAATATATAAATAGTTGGTTTGAAACGCATTCTGATATCGTTTTAGGAATTAAAAAATTGCTTTAAAAATAAGAAATAACAAAACTAACATACCCATAAAAAAGTTAGCCACGGTAAATTAATTTTTATGGCTATCACGTAGACACATGACATCTGTAGTGGCATGTAAAAACTTACAAAATAATAATTAAAACTAAGCCAGCAAATATGCCCCCAGTGGCACAGCGGTATGTCTGCGGACTTACAACGCTAGAAACCGGGTTTCGATACCCGTGGTGGGCAGAGCACAGATAGCCCATTGTGTAGCTTTGTGTTTAATTACAAACAAACAAACCAGCAAATATTATTAACTGTTTCAAAAATGCAAAATGTAATAGTAATAAGTTTAGTAATGGAATAATAACACCATTTTATCTATTTAACTTCAGTTGGAATTTTTGATCAACGAACTTTATTTGATGCGCAATTCTTGTTCATCATTCGCTTTCGGGGGAGATGCCCCCCCCCCCCAGTGGCACAGCGGTTTGTCTGCGGACTTACAACATTAGAATCCGGGTTTCGATACCGGTAGCGGGCAGAGCGCAGATAGCACATTGTGTAGATTTGTGCTTAATTACAAACAAACAAATCGCGGGAGATTTTTCTTTTTTTTTTTTTCATACAGGTTTATTACATTCGTTTAGACTTTAGCGCATAGTTCTTGATGTTTTAATATTTCTTTGGTATCAAATTTCTATGTTCTTTTTGTGTGGGCTCGGTATAGTTAGGTGGTTAGGGCGCTCGACGCACAATCTGTGGGTCGCGGGTTCGTATCCCCATCACATCAAACATGTTCGCCCTTTCAGGCGTGGGGGCTTTATAATATGACGATCAATCCCACTATTCGCTTTTGTGTGCGAGATTGAATCCACTTAGTTGTAGATCGGATATAACCTAAAACATATGGAAAATTTATGTTCGTACACCAAAGTTGAAGTCTGTAATATAGATATTCAATCTGTAAACTTGAAAAAAATACTGTAATCTACATTCAGGTTTAGAGATACATTTTAATATGACACAGCTTTGTTCCCTATTTATATTAGCATTAATGCAAATTTCCATTTAATAACATGAAATATTTATACCATTTATGTAGCCTTGTATGAGATTGCTATTCTATATCTATATATTCTATATCTATTCGAAAGGCATTTTCAGCTAAGAACGTTTTGTTATTCTCAATGAGGCCTGGCATGGCCTAATGGTTTAGGGTGTTTGACTCGCAACCTGCGAGTGGCAGGCTCGAATCCCCGTCACCGAACAATCTCGCCCTTTCAGCTGTGGGGGCGTTAAAACGTTACGGTTAAACCCACTATTCATTGGTAAAAAAAGTAGTCTAAGAGTTGGCGGTGGGTGGCGTGTTGACTAGCTGCCTAAATGACTGCTAAACTAAGGACGGCTAGAGTAAATAGTTCGCGGGTAGTTTTACGCGAAACTCAAAACAAACAAACGAAACTATTCTCAATGTTTTCATCCAATAACTTACATGTGATGGTTATTTGATATGTTCAAGGAATTGGTATTTCTACCAAATTATGCTTTAAAAACTAGTATAAAAATATCAAAATATAAACCTGTGTATATTTTTTATGAAATAGCTCACATTCAAGTTATGAATGAAGATGTCACGAAACATCAGTGGATGGTTTGGTTTGTGCAAAGCTACATGAGGGCTATCTGCGCTAGCCGTCCCTAATTTAGCAGTGAAAGACTAGAGAGGAGGCAGCTAGTCATCACCGCCAACTCTTGGGCTACTCTTTTACCAACGAATAGTGGGATTAATCGATACCTTATAAAACCCCCACGGCTGAAAGGGCGAGAATGTTTAGCTTGACGGGGATTCGAACCTGCGACTCTCAGATTGCGAGTCGAACGCCCAAACCACATGGTCATTCTGGGCCTCATTGGATGAACTTGTTGATGTTCAGCTGTGAACCTGATATCGTAAAATTACCCTCACGTTCACCGTTGTTCATGGCAGCAAGCTAGAGTTCGACGGGACTAATTAATTATTAAAATTCAGATCTGGTATCGCCAAAGAAAAATAAAAACTTTGTTCGAGAATATACTCGTTACTAGTTAATGGTTCCAAAAGCTTTAAACACATTCATATTTATATGTACCAACATTAAACACAACCGATTTAACCGTTTAACCATTCTTCTGAATCTCAGGGATTCTATATATACATAATAACAGAATAATGATCTACTGGCCTTATTTTATGATATATATACTTCCTTTCATTAAACTTTCTTTCTTATTTGAATTCTAATAACTACCATTCTAATTTTGTTCTCTAGTCCTAGTTGGATCTATATCCAGCTGTATATACAGCTAGGCCTATCACTGCAGACACATATTTCAATATTTTGTATTTTTAGCTTTCGTGAACGACAGTCACTTTAACAATAAATAACTAGTATTTATCAAATTTTTACAGAGGTGTAACATAGATCTTATTATTTATTATAAAGTAATTATAACACTTAACATGTAAATGTAACATATCGTATTTCATACAATAGCTAACATATAATAAGTTTATAACATAACATAACATGAATTAGAACAGTTAAGAATTTTGGCTCGATAATTTTCCATTGTCCTTTAAAAAGTGGAAAGGACAGATGTTACTTGAATTATATTGAACTGGACATTATTACCAAAAAAATTTTTAAGAGATTATTGGAGGAAAGAAACCCAGTGATAAGATTTGATTAAACTCCTCAAGCGTATAATAGTAGTATAATTAGCAATATTAAAATCATTCTATTTACATTGATGTAAAAATAATATATATATACAGTAATAAATAATAATGAAATAAAAAATAAAAGTGGTTGGTGCTGGTTGATTGGCTTCCAGTGATCGATGGCTTCGGAATTAGGGACGGCGCCATGTTATCTGGACTGCACACTTAAAAATGCTCTGCGAGGGGACTCCTTAATTGGAGGGAGGAGGAGAGCCTGTAGTTTGGCAGGTGCTAAACTCTTCTAGTATGTGAATCAGATCATTTCTTTTATCTGGCTTTGTCATTACTCTACTTACATATCTAATTAATATTTTTTATGACTTAAAGTTCTTCCTCAATTACATTTACTAATGTTAATTGAAGGAATACTTCTTACTTAAGTTATTATACTGTTGAATTATTCCTACGGAGTTTTTTGAGTTCTTTTAAATCACCATACAATCGCCTAAATTAATTTAGGTGTGTGAATAATGTTAGAACATCGTGCCTAATTCGTTATTCGATATCATACAGCGGATCAGCTCTTTAATGATTATTATGTATATATCTTACAGATTTATTTTCTTTTCTCTACGTCACATCTTCTCTTTTCAATTTTACCTTTGTTGAAATATTCATTGATTCCTAGACTGGTAGTCTGTTTAGAAACTACTGTAGCAGCTCTTTAAAAATTCAGAAAATAATCCTTAAATTTAAGTCTTTTTTATTGTTGTTGTTGTTGAATGGAAAATTCAAGCTTCAACCACTTAAAACATATTTAGGCAAATTTAATATTACATTTTCAGGATGAGCCAAAAAAAAATATTTTTTATATTTCGTTTGCGATTAATTTTTTAAAGTTAATTAATTTACGTCTTTGAATAATTTTATTATTTTTGTGGATTTATTCGATTAACTTTTTAGTAAGTCGTTTTTTTTAACAATGAAATTTGTTTCTAGTTATACGCTAATTAATTACTTTATGAGTTTTAATTTTGTTTTATTTAAAAGTCTTATTATCCCTTAATTATTTTGAGCATTATAGAAATTTATGCTATATAAAGAAACTGGGATAGAAAAATCGTGTTCATTCTGTTGTTAATGTATTTATCAATATTCTGTGTAGAATTTGGAAGTGTTTCGAAGTTGTTCGCACAAGAACATGTTTAACAAAATGAAACTCTCGTGATAAAACCTTGTGGAAAACAATTTATTCATGATCCAACAATACTTCTCATTAGCACAGAACTCATCTAATACAATAATGCTATGGAGACGGAAATAAATTTATACATACATACATATATATATATATGTATATAAAGATAATATGAAGTTAAGATCTCTAAATTTATTTATAATTTAAAAAGTTAATTTCTTCTGCTATAATATTATCATGGTAGTGATTTCACAAAGCTCTGTTACTGTCAACAGCCTTTCAAAGTATTTTATAAAAAAAAAGAAATAATAAAAAACAACGAAAAATGAGAACGAAAAAAAAAGGATACCTAAAGTTAATGAATTAATGAGATGTTCAAATACCGTAAATACCTCCACTATCTAATGTTACTTTATTTCTTAAGTTGTTCATAGAATAGTTTTGTTTTCAAGATTGTTTGAGATAACCAGATCTTTTTATTTGTATCCCCATTAATGTACTTATAACAGTCAAAAAATAAATCCGTAAGTGGACTCTTAAGCTCGTGTTATTTTACCTTATTGTAATTCTCCTTGATTGGACTCATTGTTTTTTATATATTTATATATGCATATGTCAGGTTTTTTCTATAAGTTAGAAAGATTTTGCAACCTTAAGTTCCTATTTCAAACACTATCAAAATATTTAAACTTTGCACAAATCCGATACGATGTTTTGTTATAATATATTACAATTCTCTTCTGTGAATAAAATAAAATCAAGATAATTTACTTCTATTTTAATATTTTCAATGTTGGACTTAGTTGGGTCGAAAACGATGGGTTTCTAAACGTAATCCTCATACGTCGATAATCAAATGAATACATATACTGCTCTTTTTCTCTTGAAATGATTCTTATAAATCAGCAAATTATTAATCACAGTTCTACTTCCAAAATAACATAAAACGAATTGAATTTTTTTATCATATTTTGAAAACGTAATAACTTTATATAATGACATATCTTAACAGATAATGGTAAGAGCATATTTTCAAAAAATATATAATATCTTTGTTTTTAAACATCAACAATCTTCAAACCTGCCCTAAACTGGATATTTTAAGTTTATAAATTTCTAATTCCAGCTTATCTTTAACAAGCATGGTATATTACGAAATAAGATAAAAAATATGTAAAATTCAATGTGGAGGTGGTGTTTCACAGTTTTTTACTCAAAATTAACATTTAATTATTTGCCTTTATGATTAAAAGAATATACTTATAAATACATTATGGTTAATGTCCCAGTAGGACAAAAGTGAAAAATATTGTTTTGGACGTGACATTTATACTTTTTTTCTTATATCAATTAAAGGGTTTAATACCGTGTAAAAACGTTCTGCCCCCCCCCCCCTCGTCTATGACCATATTTGTATACATCATCTGAATGGCCACAAATGTTAGAGTTTGGTTTAAGCCTCTATTTGTGAATATTATATTCATTTTGTGATTATATATATTCATCATATTACATAAATAAGTTGTATATCCACCAGTTAGATTTTAACTTCACCAGGAAGGTCCAAGCTATTCCATATAGCATGTGTTCTAAAACAAAAATATACGACTTTGTTATATATATATATAATTACTTACTCCACTTCAGAAAACAATAATTAACGTTACTAAATTTTCTTGCATCAATTGAGTGCAATATCTAAAATTAAGATTTTTAACTGTTGTATATATATATAAGTTAAATTTTTAACTTATTTCATGTACATATATATTTATATATATCTTTAAAAATATATCGTGCAAGCAAAGTAACAGAAACAGACGAGTCCAAACACTAGTTTTGCAATACGAACTATCACAGTTGAAAAGGTTACAAAGTTTACTTGTTTTTCTGCTGAGAAACAGCTATTATTTTATTTCTAAACTTAAATTTCCAAACTCACAAGAATTGTGCAAAGAAGTTTGCCGTAAACAGAATAGTCATCTTCAATGTTGACACTAATGAATGTTACCTCAACAGTAAACGAATCAAATTTCGTCAGATTTCCAGGAAAATCGTCCAGTTGGAAAAATAAAATTGAAATGCTACTTCAATAATCGAACTTTTTATATATATAATAATTCTTATTGATTATTTTGTTACAAGGACTGGCCATATTAATAGTTCCAGTTAAACATATTCCAAACATTTACGGGGTGTTTATTCTCCCGTCTTGGGATTTCAACTGGCGTGTCTGTATTCCATCATAGGCAATAGTGAACAAGCTTTTCTTCTCTAAGAAATTGTTCTTTTTCATGCTTATGCTAGCATTCCCTCTACCAATACCAGAGTCCGAATCATCGCTCCACGTCTCGTTCCCATGACTTAATCCAAGATTGGTTTGATTGTCCATTAGTTCTAGAGAGGAATCTAGAGATCCCCTTCTAATTTTTCGTGTTTCAGTGAGTTCCGATTGCTGGTTTGTTTGACGCTGTTGGAGTTTCGAGTCATCAGAGTCGTTAGTGCTCTGCATATTGTTGTTCATTGTCTTCACAAGGACATTGACTCCACCTTCTTTACTATTAGTATTGTTGACCTCACTCATTCTATTCGAATTTCTGTTATCCACTTGGTTATACGTTTCCTGAATGTCGTCCAGTTTTGTTTTGTTCTGCAGTTCTATAAGGTTGGGCGTAGTTTTTGCGTGCAATGGATCAAATACGCTCTGATCTTTAGACCCAGTCGCTGCTGATGAAACTTTTTGTGCGGAATTTTCGAATGTACGTGACTCATTCTCTCCAATACTTTTGCTTATTTCACTACCACCGATGCTTTTGTTGTGACGATTTTTAAATGAAGGGTCGATAATAGTTTCGTAAACGGTGGTTCTACTTTCTTTTACTGTTCTTATAACAGTGTTATCTTCTGTGCTAGCTACTTGTTTGTTCTGATCTGAAGAAACGTGCTTTTCTACATTATATTCTGAGTTTTGGTGGACAGAGTTGTAGTTATTTGTGTCTTGCTGATGTTTTTGCCCGTTTAAATTGTTTCCTGTGTTAATATCGTTTGACTCTTGTATACTGGTGTTTTTACTTTTGGCAGTTTTCACCAAGCTGTGACCGTCAGTTTCAATAAATTCTGACTCGGGCAGATTAACATTTGCTCCAGAAGAACTATTGTTGATTGATGTGTTATCTTTATGAGATGTTGCATTGTTAAGTGTATCGCTACTGTTGCGTTTATCGCTGACTTGCTCCTTAAGTGAATTGAGATTATCTGCATTGTTCTGAATGTTTTCACGCTGTTTATTACTACTTTGATTGTGAGGCTTACTGCTGTCATTTGTTGTGTGCTTTTCTTCTTCAGAAGCAGTGTGATCGTGGATTCCATTATTTGTGTCCTTTGTAAGGTCTTCCTTATTTATATCTCCACTGTTATTATTATAAACAGTGTTGTTGTATACGTTAGAAGTATTGTTAGATGAGAAGTAAACAGGTTTACCCGGCACATCATCTCCAAGATGGGACGTTGTTTGATCAAATGATGAGTTAATCGGATCGTTGGTATTTTCTTGAGGAAATTTCGAGCTGTATTCTTCATTGGCGTGATAATGTTGTACATTAGACATTTCAGCAAAATCTACTTTTTTTTGTTGGTGATCTTTCCTCACATTTCCTGTTTCCCTTTCATTATTTTCTTCTGTCTGAAGGTTCCTTTGCGTCATTTGTTGTCTTTCATCCTCATCACCTATGTTCTGGTTTCCTGATCTTGGTTGTAGAGAAGTATTTGGAGGATTATTAGTTCCAATACCCATGTTTGGCTGACTTATTTGACCAGGGTTATTAATGTCCTTTTGATACTCAGACATATGATCAAAATTGTCCATACTGGCCACGGGTCTTTCCTTGATAATGTGCATTTCACGAATAAATTCACGATTTATGTTTTGAGTATTATTTTCAAAAGAATTTTGATTTCCCCTCCTACTTGCATCTTCGTCTTTATAAACATAATTAATTCCACTGAATGGATTTGGAAGTCCTGCAATATACCGCCTATTACCTTCTATTTCTGTCTGATAACTATTCCCCTGACGAGCCTCGCTTACTCCCCCAGAAGAGGCCATGTGTTGGTTATTCTGCAGACTTAATTCTTTTCCATCATTAAAGTACCGATATTCTCTGATAATGTTTGTTTGATCTACTGAAGCATCGTTTCGGTGGGTTTCGTATTTTACAGGTTCGTGAGAACTGTTCTCCGCAGCTGACTGTTCAAGATTTGTTTCATGAAGAACTCGACTAGATGGTCCTTGCTGTCCCATCTGGTACCTAAACTTTTCTACTTCTTCCCTTTCTTGAATGTTGTTTTGAATATCATAATTACGCTGGTTTCTTCCGTTTTCATCAAACCTTTCTTCCCAGCGTTCCTCAACTGCCCATCTTTCTCCAGCCTGAGAGTCCCGGTCTGGTTTTCCTTGCCTTCTGTAACGTTCTTCTGGCAAAATAAAGTTGCCAGTCCAAGCTACCTGCGGCCTGCCATATTGCACGTGTTGACCATAGATATCATTATCTCTATTTGGCAAATAAACGTCACTATTCGTCCTATGATACCTAGAGAACTTCAATTGATGATCTCGAGGATCTGAGCGGAAGGAGTCATCCCTGTACAAAACCTTGTGTGGGCGAGTTCTATAAATCACATTTTGATCTTGAGTATTTACGTAATCCCGTCGTTCCCTGTAAAGTTCTGGCTGACTATTGCTACGATGGAGTCCATCATCGTTGTGTTCCATGTACCTAACAGTTTGAATATCATGTTCATGTACAGGGCTTCTTAGATAGAGAATCTCCCTTCGTCTCGGTTCATGCCCTCGTCCATCTTGGTCAAGGTAACGCATGTCATCAAGTTCTTCTGTTCTGTACATTTCGTATCTGTCTGTATCTCTCCGACGACGATTTACCATATTTCTGCGCACCACGTAATTATTTCCCACAAGCTGCCCGCTATCGCCATCTCTTGGCAGATCAGCGATTTTGACTTGGCCATCTGCTGAAACGCCCCTTGTTTCTCGGTAAATTCGTTCCACTCGATCTGCTCTATACTCCATATTATCACGGCCTCGATAGTCTTCGTTCATAGAGTCTTGTGGGTAAGCTTCTCGAGGCGTCCCCCTTTCTCTTTCAGTTTCTACATGTTCCGTGTCAGTTCTGATCAGCTCTTCTCTGTCGTAGTCAGGATGTTTATTGAACCTCCAAACGCGCATGTCATCTTCATTGGACACCTGTTTTCTGAGGGTTCTAGTAGAACATACAGAAAAAACAAAAGTAGGCATTGAAACGTAACATTCCACCTCCCTACACTAGTGCATTGTAATTTTATTATTTCTAAATTATAATAAATTATATTTCTTAGTTAAATTAACAGTAACATGGAATCTGTTTTTGATGACCTTTATCATTTATCTAAAACACTGTATAAATATATCTAATATTTCGCTTATTCGATTACATGCTCACATTATTCAAAATTATTTAATGTACACTATATACACACACGTGACTCGTTTATATTTTCTTTCTACGAAATCGGGGCCCGGCATGGCCAGGTGGTTAGGGCGCTCGACTCGCAATCTGAGGGTCGCGAGTTCGAAACCCCGTCTCCACCAGACATGCTCACTCTTTCAGCCGTGAGGGCGTTATAATGTGACGGTCAGTACCACTAGAGTTGGCTTGGCGGTGAGTGGGGATGACTAGCTGCCTTCCCTCTAGTTTTTCACTGCAAAATTAGGGACGGCTAGCACAGATAGCCCTCGTGTAGCTTTATGCAAAATTCAAACAAACAAATATACCAATCTATGAAATCGACCGTAACTTATCAGCATTAGCTGCATTTCGCTTATTTCTTTTGAAAAACATCTATTGATTTAGTAAATAAATACATTATGACACTACCAAAACCAACTCATTTCAAGCCTACATTTAATGCAAACGTATTCTAAAAGTTTAATTATGGGTTTTCTAATTTCCTAAAATGGATGATGATAAATAATTGAAATATATTATCAAATAATAATTTGAAGGTGACTTGAAAAAAAACAACCTAGCACCAAAGGTCTATATTTGTTCATTAATAAATTATTTCTAGCATTGCGCAGAACCAGCAAATATTATTTATAACAACGGAATGAGCCAACAAACTTTACCAACTGGAAGAGTTCAACATACCTTATTTATACAGTGATAGATTCAGTCAACAATAAATATATCTAGAACAAACATCCATAAGGATTCAGGTAGCGTAGTGCACAGTGTAATATTTAATGAAGAGAAGCAGCTAGTTTCCAGTGAAAACTATTTATTTCCTCAACGTTTCACCTTACGGTTTCATCGAGACATAGACACCACAGTAAACACAAGTCCAGGTCTTAACTGGAAAAACAGCTGACGTAGTTTAAAATCACGTTACCAACAATAAAATATAACAATGCTAAATGTATGACAACAATATAAACACTGTGAATAAAATATTCATTTAAAAACGAAACAAAAGTCTGGTAAATCTTTAGAGGTAAACCGTAAATGTAGTCACAACCATAAATATATTTTTTTTTAGAAATGAAATAAAGTAAAAGATATCCAAGATGTCCACATAAAATATACATAAGTCCACCACTTAAAGTGGACACCCTCTCTGCCTGTTTACCGAAGGCTTCTCAGATCCGATGAGAAATGACTACTTATACTTTCTCTCTCCAGGACACTGTGATATTTTATTTCTATTTTAATGCTAAAACGAGGCAAACCGTGTTGAAATTTCTCCATCAGCCTCACCTATCGTCGAAGCACTTCAACTACTTGTATAATAGAAATAGATTGTTCATATGATATATTAATCCTTACAAGTGCGAATATGTAGCCAATAAATCACTAAAAATTTACACACGCACGCACAAAAAAAAAAAACAGCTCAGAAACATCTGTTTTCAAAAAAGCTGTATAATGTATGTCCATCAAACTGGACCTTCATTAACAGACACTGTTTCTTTGACCACTTGTTATGCAGACGCAAAGACTATCTAGCCATTGGGTAATAAGGTGAAGGTAGTCTCTGCGCGAGTTTTCTTGATTGCTATTGATACTAAACCAACCCGTGACTGAGCACTTGGTAGAGAACAGTTTGTTTGTTTGTTGTTTGTTATGGATTTCGCGCAAAGCTATACGAGGGCTATCTGCGCTAGCCGTCCCTAATATAGCAGTGTAAGACTAGAGGGAAGGTAGCTAGTCATCACCATTCACCTCTAACTCTTGGGCTACTCTTTTACCAACGAATAATGGGATTGACCGTCACATTATAACGCCCCCACGGCTGAAAGGGCGAGCATGTTTGGTGTGACGGGGATTCGAACCTGCACCCACAGATTGCGAGTCGAGCACCCTAACCATCTGGTCATGCGGTGGAGAACAGTCTCCTGCACCAATCCGATCTCCCTTTTAGCATTAAACTTGAAATAAAATGCCACGGTATCTTAGATAGAAATTATAATGAGTCTCTTCTCATCTTCAGTCAATAGGGATAGAAGATAATCATTGTAAATAGTGGATTTATATACATGTTATACGAACATTTCGAATACCTCCTGTTTTATTTTTATAACTACATTTACAGTTTACCTTTACAGGTTTGTTAGACTTCATTGTTAACATGCCTCATTTTTTTTCGTTTTTAAATGAATATTTTTTCTCAGTGTTTATATTCTTATCATACTTTTATTATTGTTACTTCTTAATTTTTGGCTGACGTAATCGCACGTCAGATGATACATAAGATTTCATTGTTATAATTTTTAATTGCATCACCTGTTTGTTCTGTTAAGGCTGGTCTGGTGTTCCGTAGGGTGTCTGCCCCTTGACAACCCGTGACACCAAGCATGCTCGCCCTTTCAGCTGTTGGGACGTTATAATATGACTGTCAATCCCATTATTAGTTGGTAAAAGAATAGCCCAAGGGTTAGCAGCGGGTGGTGTTCACTAGCTGCCTTCCCTCTAGTCTATCAGTGCTAAATTAGGGACGGCTAGCGCAGATAGCCCTCGTGTAGCTTAGCGCGAAATTCTAAACAAACCAAAACCAAACCCTTTGACAAAGCCGTAAAATGAAACGTTGAGACAATAAAGAATATTCACTGGTCACTGACGGTTCCTCTTGGTTTAACATGTAGCAGAAACAATATCTTTCTTTATAATAATAAGTAGAACCAGCAAGTTTTATTTATAACAATATGTTTTGTTTTGTTCGTTAACTGCGCTCAAAGCTCTCCAGAGTTATCTGTGCTAGCCGTCACTAATTTTGAAGTGATTGACTATACAGAAGGCAGCTAGTCAGCACCGCCCACAAATAACTCTTGGTTTTGGGGCTGCTTTTTATCAACTAATAGTGGGATTGGCCGTCAAGTTATATCGTTCCCACGGCTGAAAGAGCGAGTATATTATGTGGCGGGTTTCGAACTCACAACTCGCATCTGGCGAGTCGAGCGCCCTAATCACCAGCCCATAACAACAGATAGGATTAGCAAGGTATCTTTAAAAAATGGGTAGAACCATGGGTGAAGCCAACAAGGTATCTTTATAAAAATGGGTAGAACCAGCTAGTTTTACTTATAACAATAGGAATAACCAAAAAGTTTTCTTTGTAACAATTATTACTATGGGTGGAGCCAGCAAGGTATCTATATAAAAATGGGTAGAACCAGCTAGCTTTACTTATAACAATAGGAATAACCAACAAGTTTTCTTTGTAACAATTAATAACATAGGTGGAGCCAGCAAGGTATCTATATAAAAATGGGTAGAACCAGCTAGTTTTACTCATAACAACAGGAATAACCAACAAGTTTTCTTTGTAACAATTATTACCATGGGTGGAGCCAGCAAGGTATCTATATAAAAACACTACCAAATGTAATCTCGCGCAGTATATGTTTCGTATGAGCGCGTCACTCCCCTTGCAAGTCTACTGAATAGGGGTGATCAGCAGATGTACTCGTGCTTTGAGTGGTATTAAACGTCACTTTCATTTGGCATCGACTTTACGAAGTAAAAACTGAAATAGTTTCCAGATTCGAAGTGCTCGTCAGATTCAATGAATCTTGAGGTTGCCTGCCTACGTTTCTGTACCAAACGTAATCAAACTTCATTCATCTAGTTCCCCACAATAACGTATGATGTACTCGTGCTTTGCGTGGTATTAAACGTCACTTTCATTTGTCATCGACTTTACGAAGTAAAAACTGAAATAGTTTCCAGATTCGAAGTGCTCGTCAAATTCAAATGAATCTTAAGGTTGCCTGCCTACGTTCCTGTACCAAACGTAATCATACTTCATTCATCTAGTTCCCCACAATAACGTATGATGTCAATACACCAGACAAACCTGTTTGTATATATATAGATACAGAACTAGTGAGCTTTCTTTATAAAAATTGATACGTATAAACAACAGCTTTGTTTCAGGTATAAACACCCACTATCCACCTGTAACATTGGTTTATTCAATGTAGAGGGTAAATTCACAAAGTGTTATTTCTTTTTAATAATAATAAGAGCTAAAACACTTCAAACGCAATAGGTCATGGTAGGAAGAGTGATCCCTTTCATAATTTTCATAAGATTAGGAAAATATGAAGAGGCAGTACGCTTCATATATGATAGATTTATTAGCAGGAATGGATAAAATTTACAAACTTAACTTATAAAATTTCCATATGTAATTGAGGTTAGAATAAATTGCCAAACTTAACTTATAAAATTTCCATATGTAATTGAGGTTAGAATATATTGCCAAACTTAACTTATAAAATTTCCATATGTAATTGAGGTTAGAATATATTGCCAAACTTAACTTATAAAATTTCCATATGTAATTGAGGTTGGAATACATTGCAAAGCATCCTTACATCGATATACATATATCATTCAAACATTACAAAAAACAACATTAGTAATTATCTAAATAAAAGGCTTAGTAAAACGCCGAAAATATAACCCAGCCGCTTCTTATTCTACCGCTGTTAATCAAGTACTTGCAGTAAAAGTAATGTTTGAACAATAAATACAACTTAACCAGAAATTGATGTAGAGAAGATTCCCGGGAAAGCAGGTCTGTTATAATTACTTATGGACTATAGAAAAAATCGTCAAAATAAAATCGGTTGCATTTCAACAGTTTGAACAAACAGATGAATCAACACTATTTTGCTGTACTTTACGTAATGAAGATTTTTTCTACCGTAACGCATGCAAAAACGAGCGTTAATGTTACGATGAGAAATATTAATTTTATCTTGATTAATGTACACCCTCAAAGAACGAAGCAGCTAAAACAGAGTTTGCCAGATATAACCTCCATCTGTTTACGACATATAACCTCCATGTATTTGCCAGGCATAACCTCCACGAGCTTGGCAGACATAACCTTCAAGTGAAAAAAGACTTCAAAGTTTATTAGTCATAATATGATAAAAAGTGGAAGTTGTTTCATATGATTCAGACACAGAAACCCAAATTTTCATTAGCAAAGACGTTGCATGATGTAGGTAATGGCACATCATCATTATGAAAACATCATTTCCTTAAAAACATTCTTTAATTAAATACAATAAGTTATATAACTTAGAAACAGTTCACATATAAAATACATTGCGAAGTATACAGTTTATCTTCTAAAAACGTTATCATTAGGTTACAGTATTTAGAGTAAACAACAGATCATCTGGTTTGTTTTTAGCCCTTTTTAAATTCAAAATTATCAATTTAGCCTTTAGTTTCTTAAATTTGGTTTGTTTGTAATTATACACAATGGGCTATCTGTACTCTGCCCACCACGGGTATCGAAACCCGGATTCTAGCGTTGTAAGTCCGCAGACATACCGCTGTGCCACTGGAGGGCTTCTTATATTTGGAGTATTTTTATTTGTTTCTTTGAAAAATACTATTTAAATTTTAGTATGTTAGGTGGAGGTAAAAACAGTGACTGCAAACAAAACCATGGAAAGTTTTGAACCTTTAATCTTACTTATATGTGTTTATTAACTTATTATGTGTTACTTTGAATTATAATGTGAATGTTTGAGTAAAGAATATTTCTTACTTATATGTGTTTATTAACTTATTATGTATTACTTTGAATTATAATGTGAATGTTTGAGTGAAGAATATTTCTTACTTATATGTGTTTATTAATTTATTATGTCTTACTTTGAATTATAATGTGAATGTTTGAGTAAAGACTATTTCTTACTTATATGTGTTTATTAACTTATTATGTCTTACTTTGAATTATAATGTGAATGTTTAAGTAAAGAATATTTCTTACTTATATGTGTTTATTAACTTATTGTATCTTACTTTGAATTATAATGTGAATGTTTGAGTAAAGACTATTTCTTACTTATATGTGTTTATTAACTTATTATGTTTTACTTTGAATTATAATGTGAATGTTCAAGTAAAGAATATTTCTTACTTATATGTGTTTATTAACTTATTGTGTCGTATTTTGGATTATAATGTGAATGTTCAAGTAAAGAATATTTCTTACTTATATGTGTTTATTAACTTATTGTGTCGTATTTTGGATTATAATGTGAATGTTCAAGTAAAGAATATTTCTTACTTATATGTGTTTATTAACTTATTGTATCTTACTTTGAATTATAATGTGAATGTTTAAGTAAAGAATATTTCTTACTTATATGTGTTTATTAACTTATTGTGTCGTACTTTGAATTATAATGTGTATGTTTGAGTAAAGAATATTTCTTACTTATATGTGTTTATTAACTTATTGTGTCGTACTTTGAATTATAATGTGAATGTTTAAGTAAAGAATATTTCTTACTGTGAATCGATTCTTATATTTTTCATTACTTATCAGACGTAATATAATTCTCTAAAATTGTTTAAAACACAGCATTTAAACTTAGTTTCCAAGTAGCATAACGAGAATTTTTTTTTAAATAATTGTATTCAGTTTTATTACTGTTGATACTTGTTTGAAAGTAATGTTTTGTTTTTCGAGCATCACGTTTGTTTGTTATATCATAAGTATACAACAGACTAATGCTGCTAATGTGCTAATAAATTATTAATATATTTGTTATTAGTCCATGAGTTTCAACAGAGATTAGTTAGAAAAACTTCCAATTCATATTGTTATTTTTTACTGTGTTTGTGTATGATCTTACCTTTGTCCATCATTGTCACTGTTTTCTTTAATTGTAACGACATGTTCAGAGGGGCCGACTTTACTGGGTGAGTTCACAGCGTCCTTCTTCCTATTATGTGATTGACAAGAAATTCTCGTAGTTACTTTTAGCTTCTATTCAGAAGTCAGTTTTATGCAAGAAAAGAATAGCTAAACATACTGTGAGACAGTAATTGTGTAAGTGAATTAGAAATAAAAAAAGATGGCTTTAATATTTTATTATCATACAAAGCGATAACGTCAAAACAAATAAAATTTGATGGATAAGCTTGCATAATATAAATATTATCTCTGAAGACACAAGCCACAAAGCAAGCATAATATCTATACCTTTATCATTTAAAGGTTTTTATTGATAATTGGTTAAGTGTTTAGCGCGTTTTTCAATAATTAATAATGATGTGTAAATGTTTAGATTTAATTTTTAATCCCGCAAATGACGAATAAAAAACTTTTTGTCACACTTCTGTATTTATAAGAAAATTGTTAAAACATAAAACACCTAACTGTCAATATTTACATGCAAGAAATACCTATAAAACTAGACGAACAACAATAGGAAACAATAATCACTGCCTTACTTACAAACAATGCCCCTTGTGCTAAATATCAACAGATAATAGAAAAAAACAACAACAACACTGCCTTACTTAGAAACAATGCTCGTTGTGCTAAATATCAACAGATAACAGCAAAAACAACAACAACACTGCCTTACTTAGAAACAATGCTCGTTGCGCTAAACACTTGACCAAATATAAATTAAAACCTTTAAATGATAAAAGTATAGACTCATATATCAAAAGTATCACATACAAATTTGTTTAAGAGTTAACTATAGACATACATAAGGCTAAGAAATGACGTATGTATTTTTTGTATTAACTTTACTGAAAACTTGTATAGAAGTTATGTAAATTTAAGTTCAGGTTTATAAAAGGCAATTTCAATTTGTGAATACTATAGTAAAAACACACAACAGAAAGTATAAGTTCAGTATACGATACAGAAGGGCATTGAGATATAATAGAGTATTCAAAGTGTCGTATATTTCTGAGAACCCTAAAAATGACCGTTTCGTCATAGTACATTTAGCTTACCTAGCTCGTCCTCTGTAGTAACAGCAGTAACAGATCAACCAGATTAAAAGCAGTAACAGTAGTAAGATAATAAAGACGATGAGAAACCAGAAAACAATGTCGTAATCTTCTTGTCTTACCTCTCGTACCTGTAAGAGTTATTATACATACAAAATGTTTAATTGAAATCTAGCTTAACAAAGTGGTTTCTAATTAGGCTTATCTTGTCTTACCTGTAAGAATCATTATAAATACAAAATGTTTCGTTGAAAGCTAGCTAATCAAAGTGGTTTTTAATTAGGTTTAAATAACCATTTTTAAACTCTATTAAGTTTCAATCAGCTTATGTTTATAAACACAACTATTAAGACTAAGTTATATGGTTGATAGTGTTATAATTACTCTAATGACTTTAATTGTTTACAGGATTTAATAAAGTTAGCGGCCGTTTGTTATCTGTTTATAGCATAATATGTTCACACGTGTCGAACAGTGCCTACGTAGCCAACGGACATCACCTGGATCATTTCTGACTTTAACGTACCAAATAATGTACGTTTTTACACGCACAGAGTGATATTTTTGTTACATGCAAAATTCTCATGACGTAACAAAGCATAAAAATAAGCAAATTTTAATTTATGTCCTTATTTATATTGATAACGATTGTGAAATTATACAGCCATAAACTCGACTGAGTATTTACAAAGCAAAACAAAATTAGTTAAACCTATAGGTAACATCGGATTTTTGTTTTAAAATATTACAAATACACCTCATACTTTAAACAATGTAATATATATTTTAGAATGGTATTTGGCATATTGCGCTGATAAACAATGTAATATATATTTTAGAATGGTATTTGGCATATTGCGCTGATAAACAATGTAATATATATTTTAGAATGGTATTTGGCATATTGCGCTGATAAACAATGTAATATATATTTTAGAATGGTATTTGGCATATTGCGCTGATAAACAATGTAATATATATATTTTAGAATGGTATTTGGCATATTGCGCTGATAAACAATGTAATATATGTTTTAGAATGGTATTTGGCATATTGAGCTGATAAACAATGTAATATATATTTTAGAATGGTATTTGGCATATTGCGCTGATAAACAGTGTAATATATATTTTAGAATGGTATTTGGCATATAGCACTGATAAACAGTGTAATATATATTTTAGAATGGTATTTGGCATATTGCACTGAATGTTTTATGGAAGCTAGTTCCCACTAAAATGGGCTATTTTTGAGGTCACCTAGTGATTAAAATGTATTCATTTCAATATCCACTCAGATACTGATGACACGTAGTGCACATTTTCATCACATGAATTAAATTTAAATGTTCAACTTTAGTTCATTTACATTAAACACTGATCAATGAGACTCTACAATAACGAAACCTCTCCTTTTTGACGTGGCCCGGCATGGCTAGGTGGTTAGGGTACTCGACTCGCAATCTGCGGGTCGCGGGTTCGAATCCCCGTCACATCAAACATGCTCGCCTTATTAGCCGTGGGGGCGTTATAATGTGACGGTCAATCCCATTA